TGCTAAAGAGATCATTAAACGATTTCTAGTGTGGAGTAGTTCAGACAAAAAAAAAAAAAGGGAATCGTTATTAGTACTCCAAAAATCTCATTCTACACTCATCACAAATGCATTTTTCTTTTTAATTATAGAAAGTTTGGAGTATGAAATGAGATTTTTGGAGTGCTAATAACAATTCCCAAAATAAATATTATAGTTTGTTTTTCGTAAAACCAAATGCATATTAAGGTTAAGATATTCTACGAAATGTAAATTAATGAGGAACATAAAATAGATTGGAGAGGAGGATATATAAGCAAGAGTAAAGCTAGATAGAATAAACTTTTAAATCAAATGATTTGTTACCAATAGAAAATAAGCACGTTAATCAGTACTTAAATAATAATTCAATCATAAACAATTAGGTTATATGGTTTACAAAATTTGATTGTAGACATCGAAATTTTGGTAAATAAATGTTGACCGATAAATCAAATTTTCAATGCTCATGTATTACATAAATTTTACACGTAGCGTGTGACCCGACGAAAAATTGAAATGAGTCGGAAAAGTCATCAAATAGGACACGTGTCAACACCTAGCAGAAACGACTTATTTCATCTGGAATATTATGTTCAAAATTAGGCCTTGGAAAATTCTATAAATAGAAGCCAATTTCATTCATTTAGGGAGGAATTCATATTACACCAAAACCTTGAAGCTCTGAAACTCTGAAACTCCGAAGCTCTCAAGCATCCAGGTTCCCGAAGAATCAAGAAAGCCCTCTTCGTTCTTCGTTCATCGTTCTTCCCAGATCAAGCCCCGACGGCCTTTGGATCAACAATCATCCACCTTCAAGATCAAGCCTCGACGGCCTCTTGAAGAACTTCCACCAATTCAAGATCAAGCCCCAAAGGCCCTTGAAGAACTTCCACCAATTCAAGATCAAGCCCCGACGGTCCTTGAAGAAAGTGTTCATCGTTCATCATCCGTTCATCCTAAGATCAAGCCCTAACGGCCCTTTGGATCAACAACGTCGACAAATCCATACATCCAACCGTTTTTCAAGATCAAGCCCAAAAGTCCTTGAAGATCCGTTCATCACTGTTCTTCAAGATCAAGCCCAAAAGCCCTTGAAGATCCGCTCATCACCATTATTCAAGATCAAGCCTCAACGCCCCTTGAAGAAACACTCATCCTCAAGATCAAGCCCCAACGGCTCCTTGAAGATCCGCTCAAATCCACCTTCAAAGATCAAGCCCACGGCCCTTAAAAAACGTTCATCCTTAGATCAAGCCCAACGGTCCTTTGGATCAATCGCACATCCACAAATCAACACCTTACGGAGATCGAATCAGAGGATCAAATTAGAGAGAGATTGTAACCCAAAATCATCAAATACAAATATTATTTTGTGCATGTGTTCTTGTCTCTTTCGTTTCAGGAAATTTTGCTTGTTAACATTGATCTCCTTATCATTATTCTATTTTCCCACATATTTTCCCAGATACATAACTGGGAAGTAACAAGGAACACAATATCCCTATATAACGTGACCCAAAAGTTCGTTGTAGATAATGAATAAGGAAGTTCGTCTTTGAGATTAGATGCCGATCGAGTTGGAATATCTTTCCAAAGAGATTTTACTCATTGCTTATAGTTGTAGTCGAATTGGTTTTGGGTTTGCTTGCTAAACGCTCCTAACTAATTGAGACACTCTTGCATTTGCAAATGGTGCTGAAGATGACGAGAGACATAAGAGCTCAAGGTATGTGTTTTCAAATTCAAGCTAAAGTGATTACAAATGAATTGTTTGGGTCTATGAATGAACGGAGTATGACAAGGAGGTTATAGGTCTAAATTTAGGAGCCTAATTTTTGTACCTATTGTTTTTATTTTTTATTTTTTACGAACTAAACCCTTGGATAGAAATTAGCTTTAACCTATTCTTCAAGTTCATTTTATTTTTGAACTAAAACACAGCAAAAGTTGGACATCATGGTTTCTAGAAATCCAATACTAACTATATAATTGGACATAGTTTCTGGTTTATATTTATGGTAGTTTAACCCCTCGAGAACTCAACACAGTTTCAGCATTACTCGCATTGTGAATTGAAATTTGGCTGTCATAGGATTTTCGTAGTTTGTCTTCATTTTTGCACTATTGAACGAAGCCACCACAGCGTCATACCAAAAATAATACTATTTTATATGCTCCCTCGGATCCCTGTTGATCAAATTGTTGATGAAGCCACGGCTAGCTTTTGTTTTCGTTATGGCTAACTCAAGAGCGACTCAAGCAAGCACTTCGTAATTGGATGCTGATCAGGATCAAGGATCGGAGCCGAGAGTTTTCTGTCATTCGACATTGGTAATGGTCTGTCTGCAAACAGTTTAAATCAATTGAGTTGATGCATTATGCAGGTGAGCGAGAAGAGAAAAACAAGAACAAAGACGTAAAAGAAGAATGTTAACGTGCTTGAGGAGAGTTGAGAAAAGGATTCACTTAATCTTCAAACATCTGTTGTTTTATAAGTTTTATCTCTCTTCATTATTTGAAAGAATTAATTATCAGAGAGGTGTGTTTCGTACCATTCAATTGGATTTTGCGGGATTTGCATACACCCTCAGTTTTTTCTCTACCTAACTAGCATTTCGAATGCCGAAATAAATATTCTTAATTACTTGGAAGGAACTGATTAAGTGATGTTACTATTTTACATGTTATGATATTGACAATGATTTATAAAATGGGTGAATGATATAATTGATGTCATGAACATAGTAAGGAATACTATTAATAAAAATAAATACATGTATTTTAAACAAAGTCGTGTAAAACAATGGGAAATGAAGGCAGTTCAAGCAAACACAAACTGAAGTGCACCATAAGATTGGTGTACTGATATACACTTAACCATGACTTATCATATACTCTTTTATAAGTGATGTATCTTATCATAAAAGGAAAAGAGATAAGTCTAACAACTTTGGAAAGGATACGATAAAGTCTATAAATGGAGGATTCATTCCTCTAGACAATTCATTCAATGTGAAACATAGTCTTCTTTCCTTTGGTGTGCTATTTCTCCCTTGACACTACCGCATAGTAATCAATAGTCTAATAACATTAGAGTTAGATCTGGTAACAGTCATGTGAAATCCTACAGTGGTATCAAAGCAAGGCTCTTTGATATTATACAAGGGAGAAATTTGAAAAGGGAAAAGAGATTAGGAACCGAAGGGACGAAATCTGGTTTTTATTCGTCTGGTTCATGATATTGAAGTTGGTCAGGTTGAAATCAAATATCTGGGTTGTGAATCAATGATATTGGGATATTAGAGTGACTGGAACTTCATATCTGAAGTGACTCGTTCAAAATTTGCAAATTGGTTTAACTTTACAAAGCCTGTAAACAAATAGGGAAATTTTATTTAAACCCATCTAATCTCTATTTACACCAAACTTACTCTCTATACCCATATTATTTTTAATTAAACTATCAATATCTCTTTAAACATAAATTTACTACCTAAACTACCGTCACAAACCCAATTAATATGTAAAATTATCTTTACACTCATTCAAAAAAAAAAAAATCAGACTCAAAGCATACGTTCTCTCCTCTGAAATTTTTACCATTCGACATATCTGTCATATTTTCTTTCAATCTTTTGACGCTTTACAAGAAGAACACACCACTCTTAGCATCAAACATAAATTTATCAGAATTTAAAACTGTTGAACTATCCATGTGGACAATAACAAGCAAAAACACTCTTGGGGACTAGGTTTTGAATCTTTTGAAGCCAAAACCGAATTCAGACTAGTTAGATAAGCGAAACAACACACCATTATCAATCCAATTTATATGAACCCAGAATGGCAGATTAATCGTGCCAAAATTTCGAACAAAACCTAGGTAAGTTTCGGAAGCGAGAAGAATAACAAACAAAAATAGGAAGCCAATACTGAAATGGTTCAAATGAATGAAGTTATGATCCCCCATTGCTACTACAAAATAAAGCTAGGATTTTAAAGTTTGGAGATTAAAGAGCAACACAATTGACCAAATCACAGTATATAAAAGGTTCAGAAACTAAATCTATCACATTCCCACTCTGAACATAATCCCCAATTAGGATTAACATAATCCCCAATCAGGATTCTTTTACCTAGAATAGTATCTAGTTGTTTGTATAAATCCTTGAATTCGTTGTGCAAAAATATATCAATACAATCACAAATTCTACAATTTCACATACATAACCAAAAAATATTATTACGACTCCAACGAAAGCATATAAACTTTGCCTGTCAAGCTAAACCAAGAGAGGCACGAACACGCGTGCAAAGAAAAAGGAAACATTTTACCAATGATCGTCTAGTCTTCCACTTTTACTTTGTCTAGATTCTAGTGAGTTTATGCCTTCAAATCTTACAAATGGCGTTAATGTAGAATTAATTGAAAAACAAAACTTGCACAAACCGAAAATAGCTTATTTTATCTGAGAGCATCTTAGGATTTTAGGCAAAATAGAACATAAGAGAAAGATTGTGTGATAGTAATATAAGATGTAGGTTTATTGATAAATTTTAGTTTTATAGTTAATTTTAACTTGTACTTTATGATAATTAAGCAATAAGGTAAAAAATAAACTTCACATTTAAAATTTAAGTGGGGTGTAAAAAGAGGTTAGGTGTATTCAAATAAAATTTCCCAAACAAATATCACATAATAAAAAAAAAAAACAAAAGAATAATTACAACCAGAATTTGAGTTTTTTTTTTTAACAAATGATATTATCAACGAGGGGAAAGAGTGAGTTTAGTCTCATAATAGGCTAGCAATAATGTGGTTCAAATTCGCCTTTAGCAAGAATCGAATCACATTTCACTTACAAATGAAGAAGAATACTACTAGATCATAGTCCTAAGTGGCAACCATAATTTGAGTTTAATGGTTTAGAAAAATCAGCAATATCAAAAGGGATACAAATAGGCACACGGTTCCGGAATTGTGTAAAACGTGCCTGATTTTAAGAAAAGGCTCATACAAATTGAAATTGTTTCTCTGAATCCGCGCTCGCAAGAACTTGAGTCCTGGTATGAACCGCATGGACAGTTCATCGTCTAAGAGACCTTGATGCAGGTATTTCTGTACAAGGAGAACTCAAGATTTTACAGAAGACACAAAAATTGGCTGGTTGTAGTTATTAGGCTAATTGGTTGGTTCTAATCTATGCTCTTTGGTGTTTTGCATTGAAATCCTTAATCAGGACTTGCACTTAAAAGAACTTGCAACGATCCTTTGTAAGTTTATGCCCTTACTAGTTTGTTTCCATTATTTTAGAAGATAAAATTAGTATCAGCCTTATTTAACTTTTTTTAGAATATAGTAAACTTTTATTGTTATTATTGAGTGGAAGGTGGAATTTTTTCTCTCCTATCCAATTCTTCTACACCTGCGGGTCTAACTTTTCTCGGCTCTTCCTTGCTTTGGTTTTCAGCCATGTCTTCTATCGAGTTCGTGTGTAGAGGTCTGGTGTTTTCACCAGCTCTACACCACCGCATTCTCTTAGTTATTTGCCGTTTTTGGCAACATTGCTTGTGGGTTTCCACGAGCTTCATATTGCTAGTTGGCTTCTCTTTTGGTTGCCGACTATCTCTTACTAATGGTTGTGCTCAGGTGGCGTCGGAGGAGGCGATACTCGGAGGTGGACGACATCTTGATTGGATGGCTTGGACTTCTGTCGGTGGAGAAATCAGTGGAAGCTTCTCGGCTGTGTTGTTTTCTGGGCTCTTAGGTTGTTGGGCTCATTTTCAGTTTTCCTTTGTGTTAGGCCCTTTTTTGTTTGGTTATTGGTGTTTGCTGGGCCTGTGTTCTGTTTGTACATTTGACTGGTGTTTAATAAACTTTTCCACTTTCCAAAAAAAAAAAAAAAAAAGGTGTGTCTCCATTTATTAAAATTTTATTTATTTTTAAATTTTGATCAAGGTCTTTAGATATTAATAAACATCATTAATTATTTCAATAATAAAAATATTTTACTAAATGTACCCATGCTAATTATATGTATTTATTTTATGTTTTAAAATATATCAGTAGTTATTTTTTTAAAAAAGTTAATAATTATGTGGGTACATTATTTTCTTGCTATAATTTTGTGAGGAACAATATTACTCTAATATTTATTTTAAGTATTTATTATCTTTTAAAAGTTTTATTTGAATCTGTTTAAATTTCATAATTTGTGGGACATTAAATGCATGAGTTAAATCTTTTAAATAATGTTAAGGACCTCAATCAAAATATTTAAACAAACAAGGTTCTAGTTTATCAATTAAGTTGATTAAGGACTGGAACCTAAATGATCGTTTACAAATTCTCACCTAGCGTCGTCTAATCCCCTCCTAGGCGTTAGGTGGCTGGTTACCATCCCGATTAACACCTAGGCTGCCTAGGTGTCCGCTTAGCCCGCCTAGGTCGCAACTCTCATTTAGATATAAAAACGATAACTTTCATTTTGGATGTTATTTTTGTTCAATAAACAGTAAGAGGCTGGTTGAATACTTGAATGAACACTCATTATATGCATATTCTCCATATTTTCAATATGTTATTGTGAACACGGAAAATTCCTGAAACGAAAGAGACAAGAACAACGTGCACAAACAAATATTTGTATTTGATGATTTTGGGTTACAATCTCTCTCTAATTTGATCCTCTGATTCGATCTCCGTAAGGTGTTGATTTGTGGATGTTTCGTTGATCCAAGGGCCGTTGGGGCTTGATCTTGGATGAACTGTTGGAAGTTTCTTCAAAGGGCCGTGGGCTTGATCTTTGAAGGTGGATTTGAGCGGATCTTCAAGGAGCCGTTGGGGCTTGATCTTGAGTAACGGTGATGAACGGATCTTCAAGGGCTTTTGGGCTTGATCTTGAAGAAACAGTGATGAACAGATCTTCAAGGGGCTTTTGGGCTTGATCTTGAAGAACGGTTGGACGTGTGGATTTGTCGACGTTGTTGATCCAAAGGGCCGTTGGGGCTTGATCTTGGATGAACGGATGATGAACGATGGTGCTTTCTTCAAGGGCCGTCGGGGCTTGATCTTGAATTGGTGGACGGTTGATCCAAGAGCCGTCGGGGCTTGATCTTGGAAGAACGATGAACGAGAACGAAGAACACTTTCTTCAAGGGCCGTCGGGGCTTGATCTTGAATTGGTGGATGATTGTTGATCCAAAGGGCCGTTGGGGCTTGATCTTAGGATGAACGAAGAACGAAGAACACTTTCTTCAAGGGCCGTCGGGGCTTGATCTTGAATTGGTGGATGATTGTTGATCCAAAGGGCCTTTGGGGCTTGATCTTAGGATGAACGATGAACGAAGAACGCTTTCTTAATTCTTCGGGAACCTGGATGCTTGAGAGCTTCGGAGTTTCAGAGCTTCAGAGCTTCAAGAGTTTTGCCTAATCATTTTGGTCCTTTTTTAAATGAATGAAATGGGCTTGTATTTATAGAATTTTCCAAGGCCTAACTTTGAATATAATATTCCAGATGAAATAAGTCGTTTCTGCCAGGTGTTGACACGTGTCCTATTTGATGACTTTTCCAACTCATTTCAATTTTCTTTGACTCACATGCTACGTGTAACATTTATGTAATACATGAGCGTTGACACTTTGATTTATCGGTCAACATTTATTTACCGAAATTTCGATGTCTACAAATGCCCCCACTTCAAGGCACGTCGTATACATGTGCTTGTCACATGTAGGAGATGCGTTTTGAAGTCCCTTACTGTAGATGTCGATCCAAGGGCCGTCGAGGCTTGATCTTGAATTGGGCTGGAGATTTCTTCAAGGGCCGTTGAGGCTTGTTCTTGAACTTTTGTTTGAAATTTCTTCAAGGGCCGTCGAGACTTGATCTTGAAGGTTGAAATTGGACCACAAGGAGCTTCATGTGGTAGATGATCTTTGGCTTTGGTAGTGGGTGAATCGGCACATATTTTGTTGCGCTTGTTGACTTTCCACAGCTTTGATCTTGAACTGGGTTGGAGGATTTTCTGGATTCCTCCAATTGTTGATTTTCCACAGCTTATTCTTGAACTAGGTTTTGATTCAAGGGTGGTAGACACTTAATCTTGAATCAGACTTGTGATTTCCTTAAGGGCCGTCGAGGCTTGATCTTGAATTTGGTTGGAAACTTCTTCAAGGGCCGTTGAAGCTTGATTCTTGAAGGCTGACTCGAACACATGGCAAGCAGGCACGAGGTGAAGGTGACGACTTGTTGCTTTGTTCAATCTTTCTAATTCACACCTGAGCAGTTTGGTCAACGGTATGATCTTCAAGATTGATGGGCTCTTCTTCCAGTTGGTGACTTGGTCTTTAAGGATTTGATTCAAGGGTGGTGAATCGGCACGTGCAGCCCGCAACGCCTAGCAAGTCGACCCAAGAATTTGAGGGTCAAAACGAGTTCTTCATCTCAGACTCTTTATGCCGAGTTGACTGTGAATGCTGCATTCTTCTCTGCTTGTTTCTTCAGGTAGATATGGCAGCTTCTCGAGTTCTTCAGCTCGGACTCCTTCTGTTGAGTTGACTGTGCAGACCGCATTCTTCTCTGCTTGTTCCTTCTGCACCTTGTCTCCACATGCTGCAAGGTATCATTTTCACTTGCCTTATCTATTCTCCAGGCAGATGTGGTAGCTTCTTTGAAAGTACAGCAGCAGTGGGAGACGAGTACTCGAGAGCAGTGCTAGGTAGGCAATCAGGGAAGGGTTCCAAGCAGTCGGTTCCTTACCCGAGTTTGAGTGGAAGTTCCGGCATATTGTTTTCTTTATCCTTGTCTTTGTAGGTAGGAACAAGGACAAAGGAAAGGACAGGGAGAACGCATGATATGAGATACTCTTGCTTTCTACCCTGGTGATATGAGATACTTTTGCTTTGGTGTCATTTGTTTGTTGAGGTACCCCAAGGAATAAGGAACATTGAATGACTCGAGAGGCTTCGTTGGGAAAGCATTTTTGGAGATGAGGAAAGGCTCTGTATGTTTGCCTTGCTATGGAAGGTGAATGTGGACAGTTATAGGAGGTCCCTTAATACCTGTAGAGGTACTATTCTTTCACTCGTGTCGGCAATCGTTGGATGATTGAACAGTAAACTTCACGTGCTTTCTCCTTCACCCAAAAATCTTCGACAAATTGTCCGTGATTTCCGCCAAGCTGAGTGTGCATGTGACAGGTGTTGACGAGGCTGAAAAAGGCTGGCGCCTCTTCGATAACTGGGATCGGCGCTTCGACAAATTACCCGTGATTTCCGCAAAGATGAGTTTGCGTGTGATGCATGCTGACGTGGCTGAAAAAGCCTGGCGTCTCTTCGATATCTGGGATCGGTGCTTCGACAAATTGCCCGTGATTTTCGCAAAGCTGAGTTTGCGTGTGACGGGTGCCGACGCGTCTGGAAAAGCAAGATGCTTCTCCGATTTCTGAGCTTGCCTCTTCGATTTTTGAATGGCCTCTTCGAATTCTGAGCTCGCCTCTTCGATCTCTGAAATCTCGTCGAGTGCTGATTTTTATAGAGGCGTGCAGTTCGTTTCAAAGCACACTTGAATTTTCGCTTGTGAAAACTCCCCTCTTGTACTTCTAAGCTCTTGATTTGTCCGATCTCTTCTTCCTTCAATACTTTGAAAATGTCCGGACCATCCGACCGTCGTTTTGACTTGAATCTTGGTGAAGAGGCAGTCCCGCCTTCTCCAGACAACATATGGCGCCCATCCTTCATATCCCCTACTGGTCCTCTTACCGTTGGGGATTCGGTGGTGAAGAATGATATGACCGCTGCGGTGGTGGCCCGGAACCTTGTCACTCCCAGAGATAACAGACTACTTTCCAAACGGTCGGATGAGTTGGCTGTTAAGGATTCTCTGGCTCTCAGTGTGCAGTGTGCAGGTTCTGTGTCTAATATGGCCCAACGCCTGTTTGCTCGAACCCGTCAAGTTGAATCGTTGGCGGCTGAAGTGATGAGTCTCAAACAGGAGATTAGAGGGCTCAAGCAGGAGAATAAACAGTTGCATAAGCTCGCACACAGCTATGCGACAAACATGAAGAGGAAGATTGACCAGATGCAGGAATCTGATGGTCAGATTTTACTTGATCATCAGCGGTTTGTGGGTTTGTTCCAGCAGCATTTGCCTTCGTCTTCTGGGGCTCTGCCGACTGCTGAGGCTTCAAATAGTCAACCTCCGGTGCCTCCTCTTCCTGGAGCTCCGCCGAGTTGTGAGGCGCCACCTGATCGTCCTTGAAGATCCCCTCTTGTAAAATTGATTTGATTTGATTTGATTTGATTTTTTTTTTTTCAAGGTATGTATAATGCAAATTTATGTAAAATTTTCAGAAAAATAAATAAAACGGACTTTATTTCTCTCGATGCATTTGTTTTGTTTTTGTTTTTTGTTTTTTTGCTGTAATCATATATATTATGTACACACACATACATACATGTTAATTTTTTCACATGGACTGATTCACCATTCCAAAACCTTTTCCCCTTCTTTCTTTCTTTTTTTTTTTTTTTTTTTTTTTTTTTTTTTTTTTTTGGCATGGTGCTAGCCACCAAGGATTCACTTACTTCTTTATATATATATATATATATATATATATATTCTTTCTTTTTCTGCACATGGTCTTTTTTTTTATTTTAAATTTATTTATTTATTATTTATTATATATATATATATATATATATTTTTTTTTTTTTTAAATTTTTTTATATTTTCTTTGCACATGGTGCCTGAAGCACCACCTTTGCTTTTCCCTTTTCTTTCTTTTCCTTTCGTGGTGCTTACACCCACCATCACTAATGAAATGATGGCCCTTATACTCACACCGCACCATGATATATATATACATATATATATATTATTTTATTATTATTATATTTTTTTTTCTTTAT